ACAAGTTTAGTATAACAGTTAACAACAAACTTTTCAGAAAATTCAAAAAGTGGTATTTTTACAACTTCAATAACGTAATTAACAGGTTCTATAATGTTATTAACAAGTTCGATATAATATTTAATAAGAAGTTTTCCAAAAAGTTCAAAAAGTGACATTTTTACAATTTTGATAACACAGTTAACAATTCATGTAACAATTTTAATAACTCTCACAAAGCCATTAAAAACTCTAATAGCGAATTATGTAATAATATTAACAATTCTCATAACTATAGTGACTGCCTAATAAATGGGGAAAGAAATTTGTTGTACAATCTTCATAAGGAGCTAATATTAAAAACATCAATTTTCATAGGAACATTTTGTTAATGGCGATATGAAAATTGTTAATATCGTTACATGACTTGTTAACTCTGTTACTGAAGTTGTAAAAGTGTCACTTTGTAAATTTCCTGAAAAGCCTATTATTATCTACTATACCGAACTTATTAATAGCATTACAAAACTTGTTAATCGTGTTGCTGAAATTGTAAAAATGTCACTTTTTGATTTTTCTAGAAAACCTCTTGTTAACTAATACATTAAATTTGTTAATAGTGTTAAAGAACTTGTTAATCGTATTATTGGACTTAAAAAAATTTCAAAAAAATAGATGCTAGCTGTCGAAGCTCCGGTAGCTAGTTGTCAAAGCTGCTGTGACGATGGTTCGCGCAGTCGGTGCCAGAGCTCTAGTGATTGGTAGGTCGGTGAGGGTGTTTGATGTTTTTTTTCAAAGGATAAAAATGGCTATGTAGTCATTTTAGCAAATTTACAAATCCTAATTTGATCACCTATACTTAAACTGAAATTTTACTTATTTAGATGACCATTTGAAAATTTTGAAATTTAAGAATCATTTTTCTGTCATTTTTTTTCCTTACCATGAAAATGTGTATATCGTTTAAAGTTCAAAAAATAGAAGTTACTTGGTTCCACCTAGAACTCTTGTATGCAATAGGGGTGCTCAATTTGTCTCGTCCCGCTCCCGGTGAGTTCGAGACGGGATGGGACGAGACAAAAAAGATTTCGGGATGGGACACTAACTGGGACGGGACAGGACGCGGGACGGGGTCGTCCTGTCCCGGGGTTTTTTTTTTCTTTTAAAAATTATTTATTAATAATTATTATTAGATTATTCAATTTACTTATTAATAAGAACTCTTATTTTTATGATGATTTGTAACTCTTAAGTTGTAGTATTATCTCAACAAAATCTCCTTCCTTAATAAAATAATTCATAAAGTCATTATAGAGTGTTTTTCTTACGGTATTTTTTTATAGTATTATTTTTACACCTTTTTATGCGATATAATTAAGCTTTCTACATAATATTTTTTATAATGTTTTTATCTTTAGAAGTCCAATAAAAAATAAGCATTATAACATAAAAAAATTCATATAAAAATTATATTTTTTTAAAAAAAAGGGGAAGCAGGACGTCCCAGTCCTGTCCCGGTTCTGTCCCGATCTTGGGACGGGACGGGACACGAGACAAAATCCCTGTCCCGTTCCTGTTCATCGAGACGGGAACAGGACGGGCCTGTCCCGGTCCCGTCCTGTCCCGTGAACACCCCTAGCATGCAACACACTATTTGAAGCCTACCTTGAAAGAGCACTAGCCTAAGATTGGCCTCACTGGCATCTATGCATTTTTTACATCTTTAGCAGAGTGGAGTTAATGGAATCACGCTGGAAAAAGAAATTGTTAGGATTTTCAAATAAGTGGACTTAAATCATTTTTTTAATCTTATAACTTTTTTATTAAAATTTTATAATTTTAATTTTTCAATTTGTTATATTGAATTCATTATAATTTTTTCTCCCCTCCTCTCTATTTCCATCATACCAGAAAAGCTGTTAAAGTTTTGAGCTAAAATATATTGTAAATTTCACTACTTAATGCCACATTTATTCTATCCTCCTATTTTAGGCACTGCTGCTATTTCATTCCGCAGTTCAAAAGTTGGATCGCAAACAAAACAGAAAAAAGAAGAAGCAAATTCTAAAGTAAAACAAATTGTTTATAAAGTATAAAGGAAAGTAGGAAACACATTTAAAAATAAAAATGTATTATTATATTTTTAATGTGTGTGAATATAATAATTTATAAGTTAAAATAAATCAATACATATACAATAATAGTACTAAATTCATTTTTTTAATTTGTGTATAGAAGAGGAGAAGAGAGTGCCCAAGACAGAAAAAATATAGGATAGAACCACAATAAAAAAACAAACATGAATGATAGATTTGACACCAACAGTAAAAATTGTGGGTGTACTACTACCTACAATAAAATTAAAAATTTAATTTACACAAATTATAAAAAGGTGGGTGTGCAACCTAATAAAAAAATTTTGTTATTTAAATTTTTATCTACACAGAATAATAAATTCTACTTAAAAAAATAAATTATTGTTTATATTTTCAGTTAGGAACAAGAGTAACAAATTTTTAAAAAAAAAGATAAGAAGTTGTGATTAAAATAACTTCTAATAATATATCGAGTGTATGGGCCAAAATGAACTTTAAAATAAAATATTTTATTTAACTTTTTAACATGTGTGGGGTCATAAATTCTAAAGTAAGACACATCATTGTTTAAATTTTAATTTATGTGGGAATAATGCATTATAAAATAATAAACTATTCCCTATAATTTTAATATGCATTCGAAAAATGTATTTAGAAGCCCATTCTGTTTCACCAAAAAAAAAAAAAGGAAGTCCATTGACTATATATCAAATGTTTTCATTATGGGTGTTCAAATAGGTCCATCCTGATCCCAGTTACATTGGGACGAAACAGACAAGTCCTAAAATTTTTTTGCAACGGGATAGAAAATGGGACCAGGACCGATCCCATATCGGTAGTAATTTTTTTTTATTTTTTATTATGTTATAATTATTAAATGTTAAAAATATAGAACGTTTAAGACATGTGAAATACAAAATGTTTATATTTGTAACTTTCAAGATATATGTAACTGAATGGTTATTATTTATTTAGATTTTTTATAGTTGTTTATGATTTTTGGAATTGTGAAAATAAATTTTAGAGTTATTATGTTACTGATTATTATTTATTTGGACTTTTCTTTGTAAGAGCTAATCCCAAAGAAATTTAAAAAAAAAAGAAAAGAAGATGAGTTCAAAAGAGCTAAACCCAAAGAACTAAAGTAGAAGGAGAAAAACCAAGGAACAAAAAATTGGACCGGGGATCAAACCGGTCAAGACAGTGGGTCAAGGGTTACTGGTCGGACCGTGGTTAGACCGGGTCAGACCGGTCATATTAAAATAATATAATTTAATTCACAATATTAAAAATATCATATTGATTACCAGAAGATTACTAATCATATTGATTAACAAAAGATTTGTATGTTCTTCGGTTTCAAGCTAAAAGTGTTTATACTTTATATATCTAGAATCAATTTCATCCAATGTCCAAAGGAAACAAAATCTATATTATTTCAGCAGAAAAAATTCATCAACTCCTTTCCTCTCCTACTTCAACTATTCAGAAATCAAATAGAAAATTTTCATCCCCTCCCTTCCCAAACCTTTTGACAGCCAGAGAGAAAGAAGGAACAAAGGCAGCTCTCTAATCCTAAAGACACAACCTAGCCGAAAGGGAAAATTTTTGAGCTTACCCACAACTCAATGCACTGAAGGGACAACATTGATTGGGATTTGAGGGAGACCTGCAACTTTTGAGTTTTGATTCTGCCTTCTGCGAATGCCAGTAGTGAAGGCCAAGTAGGACATGGTGAGCGAGGGAGACTTGTGAGCTCAGAGCCTCAAACATGGGATGCGATTGCGAGGTGGAGGCCTACGACTTGACTTTCGATTATGCCTTCTATGAATATGAGTGGCGAAGGCGAAGCAAGACGAGGCGAAGGCGAAGGCGAATTCGACCGCGATGTTGGGGAACGGTCGAACAAGGAGCTCTGCCGTCAATGACGCCAGGGAACAGAGATCTTGGAGGAGGCAGTTTTGGCTTGGGTTTGAGGGAGGGAAGAGCTGGCGCTGCGCAAGTCGAGAGGAATTAGGGGAAGGAAGGGAAATGAGGGAACTCGATCAGAGGAAAATAGAAAAGAGAAGAAGCGGTTTTGTTTTTCTAAAAATAAAACGGTGCCGTTTTCAGATGTCTGGCAGGCAAAAAAAAAACCGGGTAACACACTAAACCATGTTTACCCCGTTTAATACCGGTTTTTTCCGGTTAAACCGGTTTTTTACCGGTTCAGTAGACCTCCGGTTCACCAGCTAAACCAGACTGGACTGCAGACTGGTTCATTGGTTTTCCGGTTGAACCGGCCGGTCCGGTTCGATTTTTTTTTTCCTTGAGAAAAACAACCAAAATCCATTGCAATAGGTCCAACCACAAAACAAAAAATATTTCTTTTAAGAAAGCCGAGAAGTCTCGATCTCATCCCTATCGTGACCGAGATAACCTCGGGATGGGACGAGATATGAGGCAAATTTCTTATCCCATCCTTATTCATCAGGACAGGACCGGAACGAGCTTGTCCTCGTGCCGTCCCATGAGAAGCACTAGATTGGATCCACTAAGACATGGGCTCATAATCATTTCACCATCTTCACAATAATTCATTTCCAATGGTTGGTGGCGTGGGGTATTTGTTTTTTGAGGGGGAAAGAAAATCAATGACAATGACATTTTGTAATTGCATATGAAAACTAATTTATAAATTATATCTAGTACTTTATTTACCTAAAAATTAATAATAAAATAATGAAAAGGAAAATGAAAAGCAAGAAGTCTTTGAAAGGTGGTTACCAATTAGGCCTAATAATGCTTAGACGTCACATCACATTAATCCTACAATAATTTAGTGCCCCCAGGGGCAGCCTAATAATGCTTAACTATAACTACCATGGCCACTACATTTGAAAAAAAGGGGAAAAAACAGAAAAAGGTAAGAGAATGAGGACGTACCTAGGTTTGAGATGCCAACCGGACAAGTTAGCTACTTGAGACAAAGCCAACCTCCACTTTTGCAGCTTATCCTCCTCCTTCTCCAATCTTTTCTGCAGATAAACTAATGATTCTCCATAGCTACCTCTCTGATGTCTCACCTCTGAAGGATCCACGTAATAGAACACTGGATACACTAGCCGACCTTCTCCTTTAAAGCACTCTACAATCTCAGCAAGTTCATCCAAACAAAATGTTGATGAAGCATAGTTCTCAGAAAAAACTATGATGGCTATCCTGGATTCTCGTATGGCTTTCAAAAGAGATGCTCTGATCTCTTCCCCAGCCTGCAGGGATTCATCATCGATAAAGGCATGGATTCCGCTTCGATGCAGAGAATCGTAGAGATGGCCAACGAAATTCAAGCGAGTATCCTCCCCTCGAAAGCTAAGGAACACATCATAAGTCCATCTGTAAGTGAGGTGAGAGGATGAGCCAGCTCGTCGCTGAGCCATCTATAAGTGATCAGCAAGAACCCTAGAAAGAAGTGAGCAAGAAGAGATATCAGAGGACTAGGATCAGAAGACTAAGATATCGAATAGCAATTTGATGTAATTATAGAAAAGAACAGAATTCCAAATGAAGCTAAGCTATAATATATATATTCCTTTCATTTAGAAACTAGGAAGAAATATGGGAAAATGACCCAGACAAGTTTGCTTTCTTTTTTTTTTTTTCATTGGCTATCAGAAAAGATTGCTTTTTTAGTCAAAAGGAAAAATGTAAGAATAATAATAGTGCAATTAGTTCCTATCTCATGCGGCCACGTGTAACAATGGATTCGTCGAAGGACTGGGAAGGAAGACTGCTGGAAGATGGGGTAGCCACTTGATGTAACAAGGGAAGGTCGTGCGAACGGACTTGGAAAAAAGCTTCGCCATTATTTGACCGCCATTGACTAGCTTTGTGGAAAGGAGTGGGAAACTGCCAGAACAACGAAGTGCAAAACGCTGACACACGTCAAAACAAACGAACTATATGCTCCACATAATTTGGTTATTTATATAGGGAAAACTATGTCCTAAGTCCTTATAGTTTTGGTCAATTTGGTCAAGGTCCCTAGAGTTTACTTTTTAGGATGTGAATCCTTATAGTTTCAGTCAAATTGGATCAAAATCCTTCCGTTAACTAACAGTGTTAAAAATGATCATGTGGCAAATAATTTAATGAGTTGGCATTTTTTTAAGTTGACTGGGTTTTTTTCCGCCAGTTTGATGCCACCTCACGATTTTTAGGAATCCCCTTCCATCATTTGTGATTTTAACCGCAGTATGTCGTCTTCTTGTGCTCCTTCTAGATCTGAGTTTCAGGTCCTTTGCAGATGAAGCCGATTTTAAATGAGTTGTTTAAGTGATGATGGAAGGCTGCACATCGCAATAAATAAAGGCATCAGACGCAGAGGGATCGCTTGGAATCTTGCATGGAGCAAGAAAATGGATACCAATACAATGATTGTGTATTATAGTGGAAGGAGTTCTTTCTCAGATCTATACCTCCATCTTCGTTTTTCCCTCATTCCTTTAATATTGGGGATTTAAACATGAGAGAAGAGTACTTGAAGATACAAGTGTTTCGTCTATTAACTTTAGTGCCTACCACCATCCCTCAACCCCTTCTTTCTCCCCCCCCCCCCTCACAACTCTACGAACGAGGAAGACCCATTCTCATCTGTTCATTCCTTCTGGGTATGGTTTGAAAATCGCTTTCAGATGCTGCGAGGGCAAGAACAATCTTGCTTAGCTTCTTGCAGAGGTTGTCCTCTCTGGGCTCCTTCTTATCATTTTTTTCTCAGATCTATTACCTCCCTCTTCGTCTTTTCTCTTATTCCTTCAATTTGGGTGGCTTCAATCATGAGCAAAGAGTTCCTGAAGACCCAGGTGCTTCCTCTATCCCCTTCCCCACATTTTTACCTTATGTGCTTCCTTCTTTAGGGCCTTCCCCGCAATGAATTCATCTAAGTTTATAGAATGGAAGAGATAAGTTTAATCGTCTCCTTTTGGACACCGCGTCCCATTTTGATGATAGATGTGAAACTCAGATATACCAGAAACACAAGAACGAGACGACCGGCTGGCATTCCCCGACAACATCAGCTTGGGAAAAAAAGCCCAATCATCATAAAGAAATTGCCAACTAATTAGTTATTTGCCACATAATCATTTTTTAACAGAGCTAGTTAACATAAGGACTTTGACCAAATTTGACTGAAATTATGAGGACCCATATCCTAAAAAACAAACTCTAGGGACCTTGACCCAATTTGACCAAAACTACAAGGACTTCTAACATAGTTTTCCCATTTATATATACACAATGGGAGGGAGTACATTAACATGCAAATTTCTTGGATTTTTTTTTATTAGGCCATCAGCTACCTCGTCCATCCCTAAACATTAAAATTGTTATTATAGGATTTGGATGATAGATTCATTTTAATCCTAAATATAAAAAACTTCAATTTATTTTGCCTTCAAAATATATAGTTTTTGCCTAAAATATTTCTATTGACTGCACACATTAAAAGGGCTCTCAATCAAAAAAATAGCTTAAATGCACATGATTAAAAATGATAATTTATAAAAACCAATTTAAGGTTTGTTTGGAATCACGATAGAAGCTTTTAAAAGGCATCTTTCAATTGAGATTTATTATATAAAAAGTAAGTATATGAAAAGAATTTTGTCTCAATTTATATAAAAATACTTATAGAAACTTAAGATAAACAAATGCGCACAAGCCCTCAGATATATTACAAATAACTAAACTAATTTTTTTTAATATTCATAAATTAATTATCTAGTTTTTATATTAATCATTGAAACTAGTAATGAAAACAGATAACTTTAAATGAACTGGCTAACAACCTGATGAGGTGGCTGATGAGCTAGCCAACGCTAAATGAAACGTCAATATGGAACTAATCTTTTTTAGTTGGTAAACATAGTTGAAATTAAATAAAGGGTTAATTGTTTTGAAATTAAAATTTAAGATTCCTGTAAATTTTACGCTGTGTTGTCATATACAGCTGAAGTGCTAACCATGGTTGTTATAGGAAGAGATTTATAAGCTTTTAAAACTATTAATTAAAATAAATAAATAAATAAATTATAAGAGGATGAATTGTTTCTTCTTTTTTTTTTGGAACCAACATTCCAATAAAGCAATCATGTATTGCCCATATAACAGTTCATTTTATAAACAGAAAGTAATTTAATAAATATTCATATAAACTTTTATATTATTAAACTTCTAGTAAAAATGCAAAAGAAAATGGCACAAGGACAATATTAAAAGCATAACTTGTAGATGTGCTTCTTATATTCTTATTTGGGTATTATTTTATGTTTATTTAACAGCCATTGATCTAATTCATTCATTAAAAATACTTTTTTAATATTAACAATGTTTTTCTTGTTATAATGTATAAATGTATATATTAATAAATAAAAATATGTTTTCCTTAAAATAGAAGAAATTAAAATTTATCCTTTATTATTTTGCAAATTGAAGCCGATATCTATATAAATATATATGTGCATATATGGCACAGCATATTTTCCGCGATAGGAGGGTGTAATTGTTGGCCAAAAAAAAGGAGTGTAATTGTTCACAGAAAAAAAAAGAGATACATCCACAATACTAGTATAAGTTACTTTAACTAATTCGTCTGAATAAAAAATGATAGTTAACTTATTAAATTTGTCTCAAATTAAAAAAAAAAATCAATTCTATCAATATTAAATGAAATTGCAGAGAAGAGCAAAAAAAATATATATATAAAGAGTTACATTTAAGTATTAACCGTAAGGACAAATTTGACAAATAAGAATTAATTACTTTTCAAATAACTAATATTTTAGACCAAATCATTCTTTTAGGAATGACTTGTATTGTGGACAAGAGAGAGTAGGAGAGTTGAATTTGAACGTGTGCATCGGGATGAGTCATCTACCCAAAATTATAATATAATAATGGGCTAAATCAAAGGTTTTGGGGGCTAAAGAATTCTGATTTAGGATGTTCATAGAAAATGTCGTCAGTGGGTCTCTTTCTAATTAAGAGGCTTATCTCTATTAGGTCCAAGCTAGCACCATCTTTCCAAGTACATCAATCAGTTCTTTGGCTTCTCCTGTACATACAGACGAGTAGATATTCACTCATCATACTAGGCAAAAACAGCATGCAATCACAATCACTACATAATAATCTGAGAAGAACTTAAACCGTTCCTTGCTTGTGCATGAACTCTTCTTTTGTGATTGGAGAGCATTTGACAGAACAAAATATAGAATATATCACATCAAGAAGGCCAAGCAATGATGAAGGCACACTAATCCCGGCCTGTTGAACCATCTTGAGCGTGATTCAAGCCTTAATGCTGTTGCTAGATAGTCTTGATCGAACAGACTCCAAATCTGGCACGTCCTTAATACTGCAAAATCATCAGAGTCAGGACATTGCAGATATGTAATATCCAAAGTTCAAAAGAAACACTAATAACAGAGTAAAAACTGAAAACCAAATTTCGAGTGTGGCATGGCATCCCATAGTAGCTTGAATTTCATTTCCCTTTCATTTTTTATTGATGGCTTCATTTTCAGTATATTACGACTCAAATTGGAACAAAAAGAATTCTGACTTGGGATGTTTTACCAAGAAAAGACACCGCCACCTGTTGTTTGTACAAGACATTCAAATCTAATGATCTGCCCGTCCCAAGTCTTGTGACTACTAGAGCACCACTACCTTGTGGGCGATATACTGGCCACATAACCCATGCAAGCATGATAATTTATATCCATGAGAATTAACAAAACCAACTCACAAAAATTTAATTTTATTTAATCAAAACCGAATTTTTAAGATGCAAATCCACAAAGTTCAGAAATATTCTGCTTTGGCATCTGACAATGATCTAATCCACTCAGTTTCTTCCATGGCGGGTAGATGCAAATTGAGAGACTCACCAGTACATAGTATCTCCACTCAGTTTGCCGAGAAAATTAATCTGCTCTTCAGCTTCTCCTGTAGAGAAGACTAACTAGTTAGTCACTCATCATTGTTAAGACACTAACAAGCAATTGAAAACTACTTTGAGTTATAGTCATAATCAATACATACTCATCTCAACAAAATCTAAATTGATCGTTATTATCTTGTGCAGGAGCTCCTCTTTTGTGACTGGAGAGCATTTGATGGAACAAAATATAGAATATATCACATCAACAAGGCCAAGCAATGACGAAGGCGTCTGCTGCCCAGTTGTCGAACCACCATGTGTCTGATTCGTATTTTCATGAGAACAATGAATGACCTCAGCCACGTGTATTGAGATAATGACAAGAATATAAAACCACAAATAACTCATAAAAAAAAGATATAACATTTACCAGAAAGCAAAAAGGAAAAATAATTTGGGGCAAGAGCAATAACTTGATCAAATCATGGCCTCTATGACAACACATTTAATTATAAACTCTTACTACATTATTCAAATTTCAAACTGTATCCATGCCAAAAATGAATAAAATGGAGATGCATGTATCTTTCAGAATTATACAATTGCCCCATTCTATATATTTTTTAAAGCAGAGAAAAATAGAATATGGGCTAGCATGTTTAGTATGTCCCTCACTCTTGTTTTAACACGAAGATGATCAACTCAAACAACACTGAACTCTATTTTATTCTTTAATCCCACCAAGGTAGACAAGGTTTGAGATGAACCAAGATCAAGATACAAAATGAACAAAATACTAGCGTCTATGAACAACACGGAAAAGGAACACATGCTCATACATGCTCGCTCACACATGCTCACATATGCTCATACTAGCGTCTGTGAATAGTGCATACTCAGAACAGTTGCAGCTCATTTGTCCACCTCTCCTTTCTATCTTCTTTCCCATATCCTCAACCTATAAAAATATCCAATTACATCATTTTTTTTTTCACATAAACATTATTAAAAACAGTTTAATAAATATTGACCGAATACTCGTGAATAATAGCAAACACAAAATCTCTTACAAATGGAAAAATTAAATGCTGATAACTTAAGAAGTTCAGAAACTAATTTGAAATGAAGAACTCCCATCCAATGGTCATCACAAAACTAAAATTGAGTATCACTATCAATTTGATAGCCAATTCAACATGAGTATCTATCAATCTAAGAAAATCATAAGTTAGTTTATCAGTTCTTAACTCCCTTTGGTGCTTACATTAATAAAATCTCATTTGCCAGAAGAAAACAAAAGTTGGAACAGTTCATCACAAATGGGAGTTGCCCTTTACTTGTGCATTTATAGAAACACAATCCAATGCCTATTCGATCTTTCTCTTTAATTTGTGTCGCCTTCTCTAGTCCGTTTCGAATTGGGGTTCCTAAACCTTCGACCAAAACGTTGCCAAACCTCACCTCCCAAAATAATCCGTTTCTCCGCTTTTTTTTTTTTTCCTAGTTTACTCGTTCAAATTCGTTTCCTCTTACACAAAATTTATGGGCTTCAATATTTGGCTTTTAGTTGTTGTCAATTCAACGGCATTTTCATGAGAATATTATAAACGCTGAAAATCTATTATCAAACTCCTACAAAAAAAAAAAAAAAGAGGTGCAGAATTGATATAAACTGATGAGATTTTGTGCAACTTTTGAGAACGAATGGATATGATAGCCTATCATTTGAGTTGCTTAAAAAACAGTGTTGTGTTTGAGGTTGATTTTCCAAAATTCTTATAGTCAAAAGGGTACAAAGTAGCCAGTTTCGTTAACCCAGGTAATGTCCGTTAATTTATGTACAATGGGTCCCACAATTTGTACACGAGTGACAGTGTGTCACTCCATCTAAAGAGTCGACCAAACTCATTTGCTTCCATTAATTTGAATCAGAGGGGTTGGTGTCAACTTAATAACTTGATTGTCGTTATCACATATGAAAATCAATAGGGAGAGCGAGCGACATCATGTGGTTCTAGTCTGAGCAAAGTAAGTGGTGTAACATTCCCTTGCTTCTGTTAAAGCGTTGGCTGCTTCCATTGAAGCTTCGAAAGCGACGAAGGAAGGAGTGGGGGCTGTTTGCAAATGGCATCATCGTCATCCTTTTTTAAGTAGAAAACAACCCAAATCCATATCTACCTGTCAAGATTCTCTGCCCTTGTTCCTTCTCTTTTGTAGCTCGGAAAGATTGTCTTCTCAGGTGTAACTACTATTACCTCTCGCAGATTTCTCTCCCTCTCTCGATTTCAGTTTCAGTTTCCACCTCCTTCAATTTCTTTCTTCCACACACAAACCCCAGAACTTAGCTCTAAGCTTCCCTTCAACTTCTTTCTGTCTCTCTTAATCACTTTCTCCTTTTGTTAATTGATTGATTCGATTTGCCCTTTTTTTCATTTGTTATTTCTATTTTTCATAATTTCCTTTCCCCCTTTACATTTCCCTCTTCTTATTTCAGGTTAAGGCTTTCTCATTTCACTATTGGCAGCTCATATTTGGACTTCACCACATCACCAATAAAAGTCGCCTCATCAGCTTCTACAGTCAAACCGTTTCCTCTCTCCATTTTTTTCTCCGGTCAACGTTACCCGGGTTAATGAAACTAGCTACTTTGCATCCTTTTAACAACTTTTGCATATTTTTGCACCCAAAAAAAAAACATTATGATACCCAATGTCCCTTCATATAAAATTTGTTGTTAAATATGCACTTTTGCCCTTGTTAATATCAACTAAGGTGGCTCACAAATATTAGTGAGTTGGCAGTTAATCATGCTCACACATGAATACTATGCACGTAGGCTGTGACCTCTTCAGCAGAATTTTTTTTTTCTTTGGGAAAAAACAAGCAGCTCCATCCTCCTCTCGCTACAAAGACCTCGCCTATGGCTTTGGCACCAGCCACCCGCTTGGAAGAGAAAGGGGAAATTGAAAGAGAAAAGAGAATGCCGAGAGCTTCTAACTCGTATGGCATCCCACACCTTGTCTTATAAAAAAGTTATGCAAGGAGTTTGTGCGTTCTATATCCCAAGAGACCAAAATAGGAGTAAGTGTGTGAGATGAGGTTGTGGGTCACCGGGAATGGTTATTTGCCAACCGATTCTATGAAATGAGAAATGAAGCTTTAACAAGAACTATGATTAATTACTAACTTGATGAATTAATGTTTAAATTCCTACTAGGAAATATACTTATATTTAGTATTTGACAATACATTGAACAGTGTTGCAAGATAAAATGAAAATCATGCTCATGCACAAGACCTCTAATCATCCTTTTACAGTCGCTGATTAACAGTGGACTACCTATATTTTTTTACTCCTTTTATACAAGTACAAGATTGGCCTTAGCCAAACACGTATGTGTATGTACGTGAGAGCATGGAGAGAACCGTTTGACATGCTCTTCTTTTCTCTTGGAATTAACATTTTATTTATTTTTTGCTCGACAAATTGTAACGTGTGCATGTATCAAAAGTTCAAATTCAAACTTGGATTTTCTTCTGAAAAAACATTAAACGGGTATCATTTTTTGTTCTTTGAACGATTGATTGGGGGGGGGGGGAGCAAGAGCTTTCCAATATAATGCGTAATTTGTATAATTTAGTTAGGATTGCTCATCAGAAAGCTAAAAGTGCTAAGCCACCACAGGCGAATGGTTCCAAGTGAAGGAAGGAGCTCTGCATGCAATTGGCCATTGCACCACAATAAGGCAACCCTCTGTCATGTTGATTCACAAATAGTCTACCACTAACAACAATTTTGCGGCATTAAAACCCACAACAAATGATTGCTTCTTTCCTGAAGAATAGATTCCCTTAGGACAGAGAGTTTCAGTGGCCTATGGGGATGGGGTCCCTGCATCTCATGAAACAACTATAAAAACAGTAGCTGTTTTTGAATTGTTTAATCTGCATTGTAATGCAATTTGGAGGGTTAGATTTGCTGTTGAAATAACAACACTCTGTGTTTTATTAGAATACAAAGCATAAATAAAAAAGTGATGAATCAACAAGCTATTGGTTGAAATGGTATTGGTTAAAATGATAAGCTGTCTCACTTCTATAAAGAAGAAAACACAAGTTCAAATCCTGAGAAGCGTATTTGTTGAAAAGACTTTAAGCTTAACGTTTCCAGAAACCGCTCTCAAGTCCAAAATGACTTGAGAAAACTCCAAGTTTACACACACACACACAAAATAGAAGATGATGATTCGTAGTAATAAAATAAAAAAAATCTGGACATTTCAGACTTGCTGCTCAACCATTCCCAATATCCTTTGTATGCAATTTAGTGCTAACCGTGATCTATGCTAGCAAAACTCACCTCATTGATTGGCAGCTGATTTTGTGCACAATCAATGCTAACAATTTTATTGGATAACTGTCATACTCTCAGCCAACAGCGGATAAAAGGATGTTGGTCGTATTTGACAAGTAAGTTTTTTTCCTTTGCTCCTCTCCCCACCCCCGGGTTTTTTTTGGAGGGGGGGGGGGGAGATTCTGCTCACCTAAGACAAGTTACTTCCATTAGCTCATACGTAATACAAAGATAGCAGTTTCATCAGATGCACTTCCCGTAACACAAGGGTTTGAAACTCTCAGAACATTAAATTGAGTGAAGACAGTCATATGCATATTGAACATTCTAAGCCAAAATTATTTCCTTCAATGTAAAGTATAAAATTTATTGGTAAGTCACACTAGTTATAAGTCATAAAGAATAATATAATAAAAATGTCCAGTTTGCTGATAAAATCACAGAGCAATCACATACAAACATAGTGATAGTGATACAATCTCTTGTACACGAGTATAGAAGAAAAAGGAAAGGGGATGACATTGCATTTTTCCTTCTCGAATCACCCGGATCTCAATATGTACAAAGGGAACAGTAAGCATCCTGTATGGGTAAATGCCTGTTAATTCATTAGTTGACAATATACAGTGCACTCCTATTAAAAAACCATATTTCAGATAACTTAGATTAGGGGTGCTACACACCTCAATGGAACATTTAATAGGCTACCAGTTAGTCATTATCTAGCAATTGAGAAGTCACAAAGAATAGCACCCCATGCATACCCATGTACCTCATGATTTCCTTTGCCTTCCTTTTGGTTTAAAATCCTCTGGCTTAGCTAGACAAGTAGAAGATGAATTCATCTCATCCGAAAGTTCTGCTGCCAATTGAAACTTTCCTGCTCTATTTAAGTTTGCAATTAGTGATCGATAGATGTATATGGAAGGACGAATCTTCATCATCTTCATCTGCCTGAAAAGTTCCAATGATGCCTCAACATTTCCTGATCGACCAAAACTCTCAATTAATGCAGCATATGTAAGCAAATCTGGTTCAATTCCACTCTCAACCATCTTCCTTAAATACAATAAACACATATCAAATCTTCCAATCCTTCGCAAGCTGTTGATTAAAGTGTTGTAAGAAATAAAATCTGGGACAATATCAACTTCCTCCATAGATGCAAACTCAGTAAGCATTTCATCCATACGACCTGAACGACCTAAAATATCTAAAACAATATTGTATGTTATCAAATCCAGAGTAAAATTTGCTCTTTTAAGGTGATCAAATATTAACAATGCCTTATCCTTCTGCCCACTTTTGGCAAAGGCATAAATTATCCTGTTTATCACTGATATACTTGAACGGCTCATCTCTAATACTTCTTTAACAAAACTTAGCAGCTCCACACAATCACTCGACTCTGTGAAAGCTTGAGAAAAGTTAAGATACACGGTTGTGCCTATGGATTCATTGGACAACAGCAATTTCTTGAAAACTTGACATGAAAGGTCAATATCATTCTTCTGACTAGCCATTACTAATAAGCGGGCATACAACTTATAGGAAAAGTGAATGTTCTTGTCATGCAACACTTTTAGCATTTTTCTCGCAGCAGAAACATTCCCTGCATTGCACATCTTATCAATGTATGCAGAACAGACTTCCACACTTGGTGCCGATTCATTTTCAATGACTGAAAGAAAGTCATTCAATACTTCATCTGACACACTATCTTTATCAGGAGAGGCCTCTGTTGCAAGGTAACTGAAATTGCCAATGAGACAACTTTGACAAGTTAAAATCAACTAGATTCAAAAGAACGGATATAAAAGGACATGATAGAGACCCATGTATCACAAAATCATATATTCCAATAAAAAAGTTAAAATTAAGGGGAGTCCAGGTGGACCACTATAACACTTGTTTATCCGATGGCATTATCTAATGTCTTATGTCTTATCATCAAGTAAAATAATAAAGAAATGCAATAAGTCCACATGTAGACTGAAAATTTTGGTGCTGAAGCCCCAGTTGAATAAGCTGACATAAAATAGAACCTGACATGAGCTTAAATTATTCAAGTATATCATTTTTTTCTATAAACTATTAGAGTAAATTTTCAATTTAATTTCTCAATTTACAGGCATAACAATTATCAATTTTTAATCAACAAACAATAAAGAATGAACTAACCACAAGAGCATTTGATTAGTCAGTGTCAATCTACATTAGCTTTTAGCATCATAACATGTTTGTTGCCAGGGCTACTGAGCAAAGTCATTAAAGGTTGATGATAATATGAATTTGGTTTTTTACACTCTTGTCCTCCTAAGCACATCAAACAAGATCTCTAAAACTTATTACACTCCTTCAGAAGGAAAACAGTCCAAAATTTTTAAAAAGAGACACTAGTTAGTCAAAATACTGTTAAAACCAAAATAATTTCTTGATACCAAAGGCAGTAGCATAATCTGCCATGCTGCCATTCTAGACTGGGAGAACGAATTTTCTGCTCTTGTTTCCTTTGAAATTCAGACTATATAGGTTAAATCTCTGTTTCTATTTTTATTTTCAAACCCAACTATCAAGACACACACATTGACAAAAGCAAGTACTTTTGGTGACTCGTTCAAACTTCAAGTTTCAACCCATTATGGACAACATAGAACAGACCAAACTTGCAGAAACCCCTAGTACAAGTACGTGACAGAGTTAAATACCGAGTGCCTCTTCTGGATTCTCTAGACACATATTTAGAAGAAACCATTCTGATTTTGCCAAAAGGATGATCAACAGACAGACAAACAGAGAAAGCAAACAAGATTTTCATTGGCCGAGTTTTCAAGGAGTCTATGGCATTTGACAGCTCCCTTGCTTATCACAAAATTTAAAGAAAGAAATCATCTTCTTGTTCCGATCGTATTTCGCAGTATAATTAAGTGAAATTCACACTTACCATCTACTTATTCTGAAAATAGACGAATACACGGAATGTAAACTCAACGCTGGATTGAAACTGGGATTGAGGGAGATACATGGAAGAATAAGCTGAATGCGTCTCCCAGCAGCTAACATGCTCGATCAAGCATCTATTACAGACGAACCATAGAACTTAACACCGAAACTGCGAAGCCGGGCAAATATGAAATTCGAGTTCCAAGAAAAATTCAGTTAAAACCCTTCTGAGATTTGTGACTAATCAATATATCCGCATGGATTAGCAGCAACTGGCATTGCATCACCTCATATGTAAACCACTAGAATCAATAACTCATGAGTCCTTCCTTCTGAACCACATAAGCAAAAGACGGAATGTGAGACTGAGAGATTTAGGAAGGAATACGAGAGATATGTGAAAACCCTGAAATATGGGAGAAACGACGCACAGGAGAGACGGCCAAACACACATAAGACTGTAGACTGGAAGGTCGAAAAGAAGATTAGGTTTCGCTTTGGGCCGCCGTAATTCTCATCATCACCGTGGCTCTTTCTCCTTCGACGTTGCAGAGCTTCGCCTGTGAGAATCGAGGGAGTTCGGGTGACTAAGAGAGACAAAAGGGATTTTTTTTTTTTTTTTTAACCTCGTTTATAGTCTATTAGGACTCGAGGTAGTAATTTGTAAGCATCAAACAATAGTACTCATTTGCCGGCATTTTTCCAAAGTTTTATGAGATTGTGGAGGAAGGAGAAAATACAAGAAGTCACTGCATTTAAACATTTATTACAGAGATAGAATTAACAGGAAGAAAATAAAATATTCTAAAAATTGCCAAAAAAATATATTAGTACATGTGAATTTCAAAATCCTAATTTAGATCTCTCATACTATTTAAGAATTTTCAAATATTGTAAAGTACACAAATGGCTGTTAGTATGTTTTTCTTTTGTTTTATTTAAATATTACCACCTCAACGTCTTTGGTCAGTTTATGACCGGTGGCCAGTGGTTAGAGCTCCAGTAACAGTGACCGGTCGTTGGAGCTCAAGTGACTACTCTTTCTTATGTATTAACTATTTTTTTTAGGTATTAACCATATTTGTTTTTAAAACTCCGATAACTAATCTTGTTTAGCTACTGACTACTCTAGTATTGTAATTGACTACTTTCATTTTTAAAATTTTAGTGACTACTCTTATTTAGTTATTGACTACTCTAATTTTGCTGTTGACTACTTTTGTTTCAAAAATTCCAAAAATACATTAAATGTTATTAGAGATCTAGTGACTATTGAAATTCTAACTTATACAAGCAAACCATATTTGATAAACGAAAAATCCGTTTGTGTGTGTGTGTATTTGTGTATGGAAGTCATGGATTTATACATTCAACTCAATTTCATTTTTAATTCAACAGTAAACCAACATCATTTTTCAATATATCCAAAAATAATACAATATGCATCCTCCCTTATATGATCGTTTACCCTTATACTGCAAATTGGAGCCATAAGCTAACACATAATCCCATAGGAATTAATCTATTTTATTGGATTATTCCATGCTCACCGATACTTGAGATATATTTAGCCAAAGATATAGAGTTTAAGTTTGGACTATGGCTCCCCTCCTTTGAAAATAACATAAGGAGGTATCACATGTCCCATAACTCCAATGAATTCCTAGCCATAGGAAAACATAAAAGATGGAGCCCTGACAAGTGCTATCCATTATGCACCAAGTGATGACATATCACGTAGTAATTTTATATCTATGCAAATCTCCTTCTATCTTTAGCCAATAATGCATATGTCATCTGCAAATAATATTGCATTAGAAGTACGTCCTCAAATATATTATTAAAATAAAATCGCAATAAAATTTTCAGACCAATTAACAGCAACTCATTATAATTCAATAAATATTAATATATTTAAATATTGATCATAACTAACAGCAAAAAATCTTAATAAAATAAAGTAATATATTAAAACATTTATTTGAAAACTCATGGTATATACATATATTTCAATATGATATAATAAAAACTAGTAAATCCACAACATAATCATACATAATTCACATATATATGAAAAAATTTTCAAAGTTACTTGCTACTCTTTAGCTTACAAATAATCACACAATGATTACTCTAAAATTCTCAAGAGTCTACAAAATATATTTATTAATATACATAACTCAAACTATTCCAAAACTACTCTAAAATTCTAAGACTACCATCTAAACTAAAATTACAACAATATATTAACTCTCACAAATCTAGCTATTTATAATAGATATAATATTATTTGGGAATAAAAAATTTTCATATAAGACTATTTAAATTTAATAACTTAAATAAATATATTTGTTACCTAAAATATAAATATTTTCTATTAAAATTTTAATTATTTATTATAGTCTCGTTTAAAATTTTTCCTCAGCCAAACAACTCCTTTGATTAAAATTCTCAATTTACAATTCTTCAAGCTTTCAAAAATTATTTCCAAAATACATCTTTAACCTATTCAATATTCAAACCGATTAAAATCTTAATAATACATTAAATAACCCAAACAAATTATTTAACTTAAATTTAATCTTGAAAAACATTCTATATGTCTTGAAAAATAAATTTTTTAACTAAAATCTTAATTTAAAATTCTTAAAACAATCATTGAACAAATATAAACTGATTTAAATTCCTTAATAATATATCTTTAAATTTCTAAGGTTATATATTATCAAAAATCAATACTTACTTCATATCCAAACCATAAAATTCTCTTTAAACATTATAATGATACTAACAATATAAAACTTTAAATATATAAAAAATATTCATGAAGAAAATTTGATAAAAAAAATATTTTTGTGTACTTAAATAATCTCCAAATATTATATTATCCTTCAAACACCACGCACCCTGTAACTCCAAGTCTCTTGCTCGCTCTCTCTTGCTCTGCTCATTCTCTTTCTCTCTCTCTTTCTATGCCTGTTCAGGGTATTTAACATAGCCGTATTTATTTCTCCCCTTTATTTTTCTTCAACCTACATCGCCCCCTATTTTTTTTTCCCCATCTACGTCCTCCTTCTTCAATTAATGCTCCTCCCATTTTTTCCACCCTCCTTAATTACACCACCCCCACCTTTCCACTATGGTAGAGGTCGGTGGTTTTTTTTTTTTTTTTTTAAACTTTTCAAAATAATAAAAAAATATTATTTTATTTATTTTTTTACTTTAATTTTTTTAGAATTACAGATTTTTTTTTAAGTAGTATGTTACAAAACTAAGCTTGTATTTCATAAGAATTGGAAGATTGCACCCATACATGCTCACATATACGAGGGCCAACTTTTACATCCGAGATTAACCACCTTCCACACTGGTGAGGGAGGTTGATAGAGCAAACTAGGTTAATTTTTTTTTTTTGAGTTTTTGTTGCTATAGATTTCAGTATTACTGAAAAAAGAACTGAAATTAATTGAGATTAAAGTATGGCAGTTTTTTTTTTTCAATTAAGGAATCAGTTAGTGAAATTAGAGTCCTTAAAAATGACAAGTTAATAATGTGACATTACTATTTGGTAACAATATAATTTTTCCGTGTGTGAAAAAAATAGCGATTTAACCAAAATTGACGGCAACTAAATAGACTAATTTCTTACTAAAATACTACATCCAGTCCTAATTATAAAATTTTATTTGTAATCTATAAACGAGATCTTATAATTAGAATCGGAGGCAGAAACTACAAAAACTTTAACCTAAGTTGACCATAAATCTAGAAATAAAAATGATTTTCCCTAAAAGAAAGTAGCATCTCACTAATTTTAAAAAATATTCTTAAATGTTTCATTTATTCAATTTAGGTTTTCATCTAAAAGAAAACCAAATTATATAAATTAAAATTTCATAAATATTCTCATAAAAAATAAAATATATTAATTGAACTGAACTTAAAAAAAAACCAAATAAAATGACAAATAATGAGGTCCCTTTACATTGTATAGCCATGGAGTCGATTAAAGAATTTGTTGGCACAAAGAAAAAAAGGATTAAAGAATTTACATAACTTGGGTTTTGAGATGCCATATTTCGAGGTGAATTATCAAACATCTTTCTTGTTTCGTCAGTCATTAAAGCAATTTCGTATATTAAGATGTAATCCTATAACAAAATTAACTTGTTTAGGCATCGTCGCCACCCTCCATATTAAAAATTAAGCCTCCAAAACTCTGGTTTCCATGAAAACATGTTTTCGTACCCTTGTGCATTTTATTAGGGAAGAACTTAGCATCATGACCTCTCTATTCTAGTGTCCATGCTTGTAAAATCTTCTCTAATCCTCCCTCCGTTATACTAAATAACTAATTTACAGAGATTAAAAAATTAATTAAATTATTTGTTTATAATAAATATGTTTATTTATTAAAATATCCCTTCCAATCATTATCATCAATATATATATTTATATCTTTCACCAAGCCATGCTCTTAAATGGCTTATTCATGACTATTCTCACAATTCTCTCTTCACAGGCCATCTAATGAATAAATGAAATAAAAAATTGATCTCTTTGGCTGCTCGTTAGCTGACTTGAATGCATTTGGTTCAAAACAGAACATTTTTTTTTTCTCTCCATATCAATCTCATTTCAAATTTTGTTCTATTCATGAGTTTGCTTCTTTTTTTTTTTTTTACACCAAAACCTTATAGAACAGACCCCTTTAATTTCATTTAAAACTTTTAAATGTTTGGACAAAAAGGGAAAGAGAAAAAAAATATATCACCTCTATAAAAAATAAAAATAAAAAAGTGATTGTTAAAAAATAATGAACATAATCTTTTTTTTCCTGCCAACAAAGATAATCTTCATTATATCAATAGCTATTTTTAAAAGTTTGTTTTAAAAATAAAATCTCATATAATCATTTTTTTTCCTAAAATCATATAAAATTTTAATTTTGAAAGGCTTATTAACAGAGGTGCATCACCCAAAAATACCCCAAGTTCCTAAACGCTCTCTTGATAACTTTCAAACGGCAAAAGAAAAAAGTTACTGAGATGAAGCAAGAAGCAAGATGGGAAAAAGGGAGCAGAGTGCAGCAACAAGAGGAACCGAGCATTCAACATGACAATGATGCAGAAGGCTAAATCATGAAGCACAAAAACATGAAAATGATTTAAGTTATGTAAAGCACATGTAGACTTTAGTAGCCTATTCAAAGCACAAAAGTATGAGTTATTTTATTTTCATTGAGAGGTTATTGTAGCTAGGTTTTTTTTTTCAAATACTTCATGTCATTGTATTCTATTTACTTATTTTTATAGTTCTCTTTTTTTTTTTCCTTTAAAATTTAAGTTGTATTTTTTAAGATTTTTTTTAATTATTTATCATAATAAAAAGTAAATCATGATCATTATCAACAATAAATTGTATTAATTTTTAATCTCCACGGGGGAAGTAAACTCTAGTTTGCATTAAAAATTAACTGATAAAAATCCTTCTCTAATATGTGTGGCTAATAAAGATAGTTTCAAAAAATTATAAATTTGAATGACGAAGCTAGTTGAAATCTTCTATTTATAACCAAAACAAACCATTTGACCAACTCATATATTTAAGGAGCAAAGGGAGTAATGAATTCATTTGAATTTTACAAAAAAAAAAAAAATCCTCCGTAATATGTTCTATATTTCATTCCTCAAGCTTATTCCTATTATAAATTAACTGATAAAGTTTGCAGATTATGCATATGATGTGGTTCTGCAAACATCAGTAACAATCTGAACACAAAGGAGAAAAAGCATCTACAGAAAAATCAAGTTTGAGATCCATCAATTCTTTGATCAGGAAGCGTATGTCAGTTCACCAAGGCCTGCATCTCTGGTAGCATCCTTTTTACAGTTCCAACTTTAGTGTTTGAAGTATTGGAACCAGAGATGAACTTGAAGACTTCCCATGGCCAACATATACGTCTCCATTTACGGCTACTTCGCTCCTTTTTCTCTGCTTCTTCTATGTGCCTGGTCAGTTCCTCAATGCGATGCCGGAGTTCGATGGCTCTGTTGTCCGCTAGCTGCAAGGATCTCTCCGCTGCTGCCTGTGCAGCAATTGCAGTGCTTGCAAGTTCTTCTTTTAGCCTTAATTTTCCATTTGATATGTCCAAGGCTGCCTTGGTTCTCTGTAGTTCTTGTTTCAGCGCATCCACCTTGTCGATTGACAAATGCAAGGAGTAATATGATATGGAATTAATTTGGCAGACAATACACCCTAATTATTCTTTTGGGAGTGGAACACACACTGATTACTGAGGAAAGAACATCACATTGAGAATGATCTTCCCAAATTTTACACTCTACTAGTTTAGAGATAAATAGTAGTAGTAGTAGTCGTCATCATCGTAATCATCCAATCATATTGTCCAGCTTAAGCTCTTGCTTCTTGAAATGAACTGACTTTGATTCTTGACATGTTCTTGATGGAACAATCAGAAGTTTGATTATTGTCAGCTTTCATTACCTCAAGTGAAAACAAATTTCTGCATATCTTGCATTGGACCAGTATGTTTTGTAGATGACTTAAAGCCTTTTGGAAAAGATCATAAATGATTTTCATAAACAGACCAATATTATGAAAAATTTATGATAAATCAACAGAACTAAAAACATGCCACTCCACTGGACGGACTCCATCAATAGGGAAGAGTAGAGAAACTCAATATCAACCGAAGTTCAGAATTCATATAGAAAGGGAAAGAAAAAACCTTTACCACTCTGTCACGCTCTTCAATCTCATTTTTTCCAGCTTCAACTTCCAACTCACATGCGTTCTTCCATCTGCCAACTTCTTCCTCAGTTTCCTTAATTTCCGTTAAAAGCTCCTCTACCTTTCAGACAAAAGTATAAAGCTAGTGAGAATGAGAGCTTTAATGGGGAATGATTATCCCATTTCTTGATCAAATATGTCATTACATTTTGAGCCAAAACCCCCTCTCTATCTTCTAACTCCTTAATGTAGAGTTTGTTTTCTGCAATTTCTTTGGCTTGTTTCTCTGTGAGACACTGGAGTCGCTCTGTGTCTGACCTGACGTAAGATTGATAATAAATAGTCCAAAACCCAAGAAATATGACATACCAACCAGCTGGAGCAGCATGGTATTTCTGAGACTAACGACAGACTAAGCTCATATATAAACACCAAATGTGTAGAATTTTTACTTCATGACGTCTATTATGATTCATATTGTTTTGAAATGGAAGCAGTTAAATATGTAATTTAAATAACATGATATATGAAAATAAAAAGGAAAAACAAATTTCATGTGGTAAACAAGGAACAATCAGAAAATGAATGAACCCTATGATCACAAGATTCCAACACTCCCTCTTAAGGCAGGCACAGCTTCTTGGAGCTAACATTGCCAAACTTCTTTATTGTTAAAATAGAGAGAAAAAATTGCTTGAATTTTGTTTAGTCCTATCAGAGTCAAGGAAGCTTTGGCTTGTTTTCATAACTCTCTTCGGTGCAATATACGGCATCATCAGCAAAAAACCATATCACTATGATGATTTAAAATGGTTAGGGTGGTAAAATACCTAGATTCCTCCAAAGATTTCCTCAATTGAGTGATTTCAAGACGTAGATTCTTCATTATCCTTTCAACTGTTGAAGCCTTGAAAAATAATCATAAATGTCAGAACAGGCAAAGCCTTTTGCAAGAACATAGTAAGCCATGAGTTACTACTATCATCTATTGCAAGTGGCAACCCCTGTTCTTGTAAACAAACAGAAATGCGCTGTATGAGAAAAGCAAGCTATATCCCTGCTCATAGGGAGGAACAATGATCTACAGAAAATTATGAGCTGCATGTCAAAGATAAAGGGGACAGAAATTTTGGTTCTTTTAAATGTCACAAGCTACAAATTGTGGTAAAGAATGTGACATCTTCATGTTCTTAAATAGCATTGATTCTAGTTCAATCTAGCAACAATACTTCTAATATTAAATACACTTTTAGTTCTGAAAATATTAAAATAATCTCAATTTATTCTTCCAAAGTGCCTGTCTATCAATTTCATTCTTCTATAATCTCCCCCTGTCAATTTACACCCTCTGCTTAGTATTAAATTGACTTGAACTGGCCTAACAGCATACTATACTACCACAAAATTGATAAGTGGCCATGTTTAGTGTCCAAGAAATCTAAAGTTGGAGAACTGTGCTCAACAAATTAATGGACTTATTGCTGAGTTTCTGAAAACTTAGCATGGCCATTTCATCATATAAGGACCGCATAAGTATTTTATTAAGCCAAGCCAACAACTCAGTTATATTCACGTCAGTTTGACACAACGGGGGATTAAACTAACAGGGAAAAAATTAATGGATGACTAAATTCAGATACTTACACTGTAGATGACCAAATTTAGAATTGCGAAATCATTCTCTATGCTATACATAAACTGAAGCCATAATTTAAGTATTGGTGTAACTAGTTCAATTGTTGGTTCTATTTTTGTTCCTTTTGTCCAAAGCTATAAGGAAAAGATCATACAATTAACTGTAGTGAAAGTGAAAAAAAGATGAAGGCTATATAAATAAGTCAATCACAGGGAAATAAAGATATCAGTAACTTACCAGACTAACGATCTCCTCTTCACACTCACTACTGTCAGACTTAGTCCCAGTGTTCATCCCAGTACTCTTAGTCCCCGTGTTAACCCCAGTATTCTCTGTAGTTGGCTCATTAGTATTAGCCCCCATCATGAATCCAAAACCAACTTTCTGCAATCCAAATGGTAATAGGGGTACCCTTCCCTTCAACTTCTTTTCAACTGATTCTTTTTCCAATATGGCGATCCTTAGCAACTTATTGACATCCCTATTCTCCTCTGTCAAACTGATCAGACTATTCTCCAGTTCTCTTTTCTCCTTCTTTTTTGAGTCTTTATACCTGTCAATCCTTGTTTCCACCCCAGTTGCAAGCCTTGACACCATCCTCACCTCTTCCAATAATGCCCTTGCCTCCTCTCCTGGTCCAGATTTCACACAAATACCCTCGTCTTCTTTAACAGAAATTTCGTCATTTTCTTCCTCTAAACCCTCTAATACTCTAGATAAACAATCCCTTGTTGAACTGAGAGATTCTAAACTCTCTACCATCAACGAATTTATGCCTTCCCTCTCACTCTCCAATTTCTGGACTCGCTCTTTGAAATCTTCCAATTCTTTCTTGAGCCCTTCTTTCTCTCCCATTTCCACATCAAGCTTCTTCGATAACTCCTCCTCCTTTTCTCTCAAATTTGTTTCAAGACAACTAACCTGATCCCGAAACGAGTCTCTTTCCCTGATAGTTTGCGCCATTTCTCGGCTTAAACGTGCGTTATGATCCGCGCACTCATCCATCCGCTGCTGGAGGAGAGCAAGATTTTCTTCGGCTTCTGCATGCTTTAATTGAAGGCTTCCATAAACATGACGAAGAGTCTCGAGGTCGGAACGAAGACCATTGCGGGAAATTTCAGCACTGTCTGCTGAAGAGCGAATGTTGATTGGGGAGGATCCTGGTGAAGAAGTGGTAGCAGAAGAGGGTTCTACCATGTTCCGTGGAACAACGGATGAATCAGGGTGTTCATAAACAGAGGGGGAGAGAGAAGTAGAGGATTTGAAAAGGAGGTGAGTTAATTTCAAACCTACCAGTCAAAGGGGAGGGAGCAACTAACGTACTCATAATGTGCAAAACAGGATCGCGTGTTAGTTTTTCGAAGTTTGGGGGGCTAAGAGCCTAGGACACGTAATTATTGGGGGCTTAGCCATATTGCATCTTGAGACTTTAAAATTTAAAATATGAATGTCACTGGAATCTTATTTTATTTTTTTTAATTAAGCTTTTGTAATTTTTTATTTATTCCTTATAATTCTTCCAATTTCAAGTATTCATCAATATAACCATAATGTGTTAATTTGCAAGAAATATAATGTTAGTTGGTTAGTGGCTGATAATGCGACTCCTACTTCGCATGTACATGAATTTGTCACATAAATCTAAATAAAACCAAAATCAAATTGATTATAAATTATATATAAATTTAAAGAGACTGTTATGAGCATAATAATTTTAGGATAAATTGTTATAAAATCTCAAGAAAAAAAATAATTATTAAAAGTTTTAATAACAATAGAGTAGTATGTATGACAAGTTTTAAATAAAAAATTAAACCTCAACTTCTTACTTGCTACTGAAATTTTTTGGTTGTTATTTTTTTCTTGGGATGTTATAATAATTCTCCCTAATTTTTTATGTTGACAATAAATAAACTTTATTATATCATGTTATTCTTAAAACCCTTTTTTCATTTTGCAATTTCTTAAAACTTAAATATCACCCATTACTTTTTTTTTTCTCCCAACAAAGCATAATCTTTATTAATAAAGGAAAGACTGTACATCAGTTTGAAAGGGAATGCATATCACCCATTACCTAATTAGCATCTACATCAGCCATAATCAATTGATTATGAGCATAGAAACTGATATCTCTAATTGAACAAATTATAAGGACTCAATTAAAAAGAATTTTCCAATAATAAATATTAACAGCATAAAATCTCATTTTTTTTATTTATCATATTTATTATTTTTCTCAAAATTCTTATAATCAGATGTATAAATTATGTTAACATTGAGCAATACTTCAATGTAAATTATTAAGAAAATATTTTAGAAACCCCCCATATAATTGTTTTTACAGACAACTATATTACCTACGTATCTTAATCGGAATAAATTAATGGCTAAATTATATAAAATTTTCTTAAATGTTAGGTATGTTATATATAACACTCAACATTTTAAAGTTCAAATTTAACCTCCCTATTATTATATTTTTTTACCATGAGTCCTTTACCATTAACTTATCATTGTCTTTTTAACAAAATTTGCCCCGATCATATTGATATAAGACACATGGCACCTATGTACACTACAAGAAAACATGATATTAGTGACATAATTTAGTAATAGAATCTAGTAACAGAAAATTTTTGTCACTAAATTAGTGAAAGATTAGTGACGAAATCTTATTCTGTTACCAAATTCTGTCACAAGTCTGTCACTAATTTTGTTTTAAATTATTAGTGACGGAAAAATTCCGTCACTAATTTCCGTCACCAATCCGTCACTAACTATCATTCTATGAAGGAAATTAGTGACGAAATTTTTCTGTCACTAATTTCTGTCATAATTCTGCCACTAATCCATCACACAAAAATATAATATAAATATATAGCAATTATTTTTTAAACTTGTTATTAAAATAAAAATATAATATATCATAATTTTTAAATAATATATTATATAAAAATTAAAAATAAAAATATTATAAAAGAAAATAAAAATAAAAATATATAATATACTTATTATTTTGTTAATATTTGAATAAAAATATAAATTATTAGAAATTTTTCACTAAAATATAAAAATTAAATTCAAAAAAATAATAATATATTAAATTATATAATATATATTAAATTATGTACATAATATTTATTATATATATTTGTATTTGTTATTAGAAATATTACATATATATTTATTTTTATAAAAGAATTTCACAGGTGCTTCTCAACTCAACTGGCAAAGGCTTTAGTAAACACGTAGGAGGTCTCAAGTTCGAACCAACACTTCTTCACAAATTGGTCAATTTGTGACGTGGCGATAATGTGGACAAGGTGATGACATGGCCGCTCATAATGATGGACATGTGGCAATGACATGGACAAGGCGATGATGTGGTAGCTCCTAATGATGGACACGTGGTGATGACGTGCACGCTATGATGATGTGGCTATATGGGAGAGAGGAAGAGTTGAGGTGGCATCCAATTATGGACACGTGGCGATGACATGAATGAAGAGATGATGTGGGAACATGGGAGAGAGAGGAGTTGGTCAGGTGGTAGCCATTGATAACGTGGTGGCTCATAGTGATAGACACATGGCGATGATGTGGTGTTTTAAATTTATAAAATAAAAAATTTAGTGATGAATTAGTGACGGAAATTTCCGTCACCAATTTGTGACAGAATTTTTGGTCACAAATCTATCATTATTTTGTGACAGAATTTTTATAGCATATCCGTCACTAATTAGCGACGGATTAGTGATGAAAATTTTCTGTCACTAATTTCCGTTGCTAATCTGTCAGTTAGTGATAGAATTTTTATCTCCCACTAAGCCGGGAAATTAAAAAATGATAATCAATCTGAAAATCTAGGAAGAGGGATAGGGATCAACAAGTTATTGAAAATTGAATTCTGTCACTAATTATTTAGTAACGGTGGAATTAGTGACGGAAAAAATTTCGTCTCTAATTTTGTCGCTAACTGAATTCTATCACTAATACGTTGCTAATCCGTTGCTAATTTTGATTAGTGACGGAAATTCCGTCACTAATTTGATTTTTTTTGTAATGGTAATGCAAGTCTAATGATTTTATAAAACCCCCTAAATCTTAGGCCAATCACATATAACCTCCTAACATTTCAATATCTAAATTTAACATCTTCATGGTTTTACTTTTTAACAAGAAACCTCCTACCATTACTCTTTTTTTTATCCAATGCCTATCAAAACAAGTTCATCACTTTCATATAATCAGACTTTTTGCAATCTTAGTGTTTAAAAACCGTAGTAAATTTATTAAGCCTTGACTATCACTTATCAATTAAAATAGCTTTTTTGTATGACCAAAAAATATATATATAAGAATGATCTTTAAAAATTTGCATTATTAAGAAACATAAAACTACCTTCAATCCTTAATATAATAGCTAGATGACTAAGTTGAGGATATTAAAAAAATTAGTTAAGTTGATTATTTGTCACAATTATATGTTACTTTTCCTAAAATATCATATTTAATTATGTGTATTAGATGACTAGAATTATCTCTTGATGAAAATTTCTTGCAATCAATAAGAATATTTTGGGATAAAATGGAAGACAGTGGATTGGAGTCTTATATTAAAGACTAAATTAAAACTAGTTTTTAGATTAAGTAGGAGAGGTAGTAATAAAAATTTTCAATTTTTGATTCAAGAAACATATGCATTGATATTAAAAGATAAATATGGACAAAAATTATTCTCTAATATTTAAACGTTCACATTGATTTTGATAAAAGGAAAAAAGGTTTACGTCGATAACAACATTTTTATGCTATCAATACTCAATTATTCCAAGAAAAACAATAAACACTTCACTATAAATAGTTTAAAAAAACATTGAATGACGCTAGATGGGGCACTTCATTCTTTTTTATGGTGAGGATAGTATTAGGAGGCTGGTTATCATGCATAAATAACAAAAGAAAGAGTTATTATACTATTTAGTATAAGTGTACATCAAATTATATTAAAATTTATAATTAAAGAAAAAACAAGTCTTTGTTCTTTTTGACTTGATGCAACACTTCTTTTTCTTCTTCTTCAATTCTATAATTAAAGAAAATACAAGTGTCTATACTATTTGATTTGATACAATTCTTCTTTCTTCCTCCTCCTCCTCTTCTATTATGAGGAGCCCTACAATCCTGGGCATTGTGACCCATTTTTTCGCAATTACCGCACTTCATGATCGCCCTCTTTTGAACTTATCTTTGTCTCTTTGATGTGTTTTCTTGCCTATCTAGAATTTCTTCCTTGCTTGGGTGCCGAACGCACTGTCTAACTGTTGGAGTATGCTGCTTGAAGATAAGTAAGGACTAGATTGCTAGGTGATAGGCTCTTTTGTTTCCTTTATCAAGTCACTGCTTATCGTTTGTAATCTAAAAAAAAAAAAAAAAGAATTTCTTCCTTGCTTTTTGGGCCTACCAAGTGGCCTATTATATTCTAGTAGTTGCAAGGGAACTACTGTAGACTATGGCCAGTGTTATTCACTTAGCATTAAATCATAAACTCTCTAGAAAGAATCTCTAGTATAATACATAGAAACATAATCTTCAAGCAGCCTTCTTATTTGATAAATTGCCGCAACAACATGTCCGCAAGGGATGGCAATTAAATCCCAAACCTTACATATAGATGTTATTGTCTTAAGATCTACCACCTCCCTTTTCCATGAACTCTCTGGATCAAATCTCCCATCACCTACTGTCATACCTTAAGTTTATACCAATTAACTTGCCTTGCGGAAGTATTTGGTATCACTTTTGAAGACTACAAGTTATGAAAAATCAAGTTTAAAAATTTTCTTTTTTGGATTACTATTCATTGTAACCCTAAAATGTAGCAAATTTTGAAAATTCATAACTAATTGTAAAAAAATTGTAATCGAGTGATTCCAAATTTATCGAAAGCTCTTTGGATAAAATTTTGAGAAAAAAATAGTTTTCTGGAATGATTGCTTTGAAATTCGAGCCCAATTTTCTTTGAAAAATTTACTGTTCATTTGGTCATTTTTGGATTTTGACCTTATCTTTGCCTAACTTTGAAAAGGCACAACTTTCTGCTCGGTTATCGGAATTGGGCAAACTACCTTGTATTTTAAAGAGAAAAATCAAATCTCTTTGCTTGCCAAATTTCATAACCTAACTCACTCGTTTACTCAAATGGTCATTGGTCAAACTTTAGTCCATTTTAGTTGACTTTTTACTATCATAACATACTCTCATT